GGAACAAAAACTGTAGCTCACAATAGCTTCGTATCTCAATTGGTGGAAAAAATCAAAAGTAAATTGACTGCTTCCTTGATATTTGTCGTAAGTCAATGGTAGCTTGTTCCAATCTGAATTACTAGAAATAGATTTGAATTTCACTTTGCGCTCTGAGAGCATCCATAAATTTTTCTTCCATATTTACTAGAAATGGGCAGAATTGGCCATGAAACACACTCCCGCACCGTAAACTATTTTTCGCTTGAATAACCTGCTGCAGTCTTGGTACCGTCTGCCGTTGAAATGGATATTGTAGACAAATTCATTGCAATTCGGGAATAACTACGGAAGATTAATAGTGATGATCGAAAAATGAATTGATATAAGCGGATGATGGAATGATGGCAAACCAGTTGTTTTAAAGCTTCGATATCCACGCCACAAGTGCTGTTGGTTCCATTGCATGCATCAAAATCGAGGCTAGAACGTGAATGACCTGCAAAGGCATAGCTCACCAGTCGATCGTAGAATATTCGTCTGAAAATATCATGCGATGATTTTTCTATTCGAAATTAATTTTATCGGTAATCAACCTACTGTTTACGCTTTCCAATAATGTTATAATCTCTGTAAATTTGTTCAACATATTGTTCAGCTTTCTCGGTACTTGCTTCTACAAAGTCAAACTTCGTAAAACATATAGACATAGCTGGAAAAACACTGTTGTTTTTTGAGATAGTTGGATCCACATTGATAACAACCGGACTATCCATGTAGTCATTTAATGTGTAGACAAATACCACAATCATTGCAATGATCGATGCAATTATGACGCAAATCCAATAGGTGCTTCAATTAGAAAAAAAATAGTTATCTGTAGGCGATTTGTCAACAATTATCATGATTGATTTTCATTAATTATTTTCAATTATCATGAAATGATTTACCAATCAATCATTCCATATCGACGATCCAAATATCGGACGCCATGTAGGCCACTGTTGTTTACAAAATAATAGAATCGATTTGTGAATTTAGTGACCATGATCATATATCGAGTGGGACTGGTTGTAATTCGGTTGTGATTGCTCGATTTTGAGCATAGCTTCATCTGACACCAATTCCCCCCACACAAACGCTCTGTAGCGAAAAAGATGAGCTCAGCAATGCTTATAAAACTACATCCAAAAAATAGTGCCGCAGCTCCACCGATCGATACTTGTTTTTTGTGTATTGAGAATGAGAAATATTTGGATGTTAGGAGTATTATTTGGAAGAACAAAAAAAAATACGATGAAAAGGGAAGATGGAACACACCAACCAAGTAATGAATACCAAATTTGATATCTCGTTTAAGCCTTGTTTGTGAAGTGCGAGGTCTTGTAACAATGGTAAGTGATTTTGATCGTCCAGGATAAGTAGTCCATGTTAATGTATAGTCGACTGAATTACATTGGGGAAAACAGAAACAATTGCTTCGTTTTTCATTCCAACGACTTTTCGACAAGCAAATTCTATGATATTGTAAAAATATTTCAGCACATATTTATTCAGTTGGTAATTGTAATGATTTGTTACATTCCAGTTATGTTGCATACTGGGCCAGGACCTGAAATCAACCATAATCAGTTTTCTGTACCATTTGATGTGGTCAAGATGGGAGCAATCACCAATTTTATAGAAAAATGGTCGACATCCACAAAGATCGATTGCTGCATCGACGCTGCATTCCATTAAGCACAGATTTTGTGTATACAATCCCAACGGATAGCTTCGGTCGGAAGTGAGTTCTGTGCCAAATCTGCACTTGCGGCTCTCAATTCCGAACATTTTCGCTCGGTCACTCGTAACCACTTCATTGTAGAATATGTTAAAATCGATCATACCAGTAAAAGCGAAATTCCATTCAAATTTCGGTGATCTCCTCATATTCAAGGTGTCATTTAAACCATGAAAATACTTTTCAAAAAAAAAATGAATAAATCAAATAGATCTGATCACCCTATGCATAAAATGGAATGTTACACAATGGCAGCGATGGTTACGAAATTGATAACAAAAACAGCTGATAGTTCTTAAAATGCGGTGAAACAGCGCCGCTTCTCTACACTATTACATTGAATACCTCTATTGGCAGACAAGTGGGATTCTACTTACGATTATTCCATTTTCAGCTAGTTCGTCATAACCTACGGATAGTGAACATTTTTTAATTGATCCACACTTGCGTCCTGTCATTATTGAATAAGCTGTTGATTCTTGATCAGAACTGTGAGATTACATGAATGATGTTAAAGATAATAATGGAAAAAAAATTATCACTTTGCAAGTATTTGAGCCACAGAGAAGTACCACTTCACAGGCTACCCACAGAATCTGCACAAATTTCAACATACGTATATGGTAGTGTGTATGTAAAACCAATTTTTGAACATTTTATTTGAATTTTTATGCTCTTACTGTGTGGCCCAAACATGGAAAAGTGATGAAAACTCAGTTCGTTCGTATCATACTCATTTTGTATTGCTCTGAAATATTTGAACAACTTCATAGTTGACCAACATATTCCCGCTTCGGTTACTACGACACGGAAGATTCTCTGATTTCCTGGACGCCCTTTTAGCTGTTGAAACATTGAATAGATGCGATATAAGTAGTTTAACGAGTACATTACCGCAAATGTTCATACGTTCAGTGCAATATCGAATATTTCTTCTCCGCTGAGACGTTTGAATAAGTCAGTGTTGTCAAATTCATCGATCAAATGGATATTTTCTGCATTAAACGAACCAATTATTTTCATACAATGACTGTAGTCACGATAGGCTCTCGAGTCGTTATTAATCGAAGTAATATTTTCGGAGCGTTGATGATACTCGTCAATGAAACTTTTGTTTCTATAATCGGAACAAATTGTATATGCTGGAATATCATATGTCCAGTCATTATAATTGGTTTCCAGATTAAGAATGAATGGATCGTCTAAAAATCGTGATACTTGATCAACACAAATCGAAAACACAAAGTAAGTGAACAATAGGACCAGTGTGAGCCAGCCGATTCTGCAACGAAATAGGAAATTTGCATTCTCCATGCAGAAATGGAAAGAAATGTAAAGTAAAACCTTTCAAGCGATGTATAATTTCTGTTCGCAATGTGGTTGAATCCATGGAGATTGGTTTCTTCGCAGAATTTCACGAGAAAAGTATTTTGTTCCAAATATCGGTAAATTTTTGACAATTTTTCAAACAAAAAACGATTCAAAAATGCACGACAACATTTTAAAAATGTGAGAAAGAAATGATTTATGATTTGCCATTTAGATTTGATCGGATTGAAAAAAGTCGATGAAAAGCGACTACAATTCATTTTAACGGAGTTTTAGTTCAGACAAAAGGTACAAATGAACTGACCGTGATTGACACGAAACGCTAATTTTATATGAAAAACGACTTTTTATTCCATAAAAATTCAATTTGTTTAAAGTAATTTATTAGAATTGCCAAACAGATTAAATCTCTACATGCTTCATTAGCTAATTTAGCATTCAAACACAAACACATTGCGTTTGAAACGAGCGCGCTGATTTACTAATGCAAAATTGTAATATTGATTTTTCATCACTGATTTCAATACAATATACACTTTCCATAGCTTAGGCCTTCGCCTCTCAAACATGCAACCAAAGAAAATATTAATTAACATAAACATCACATGAAATGGCATCGCAACGGTCAATTAACATTAGCCAGAACGGTGCAAACTCACCTCCAATTGGCAATTGCATTGATGCAAGGTGTGTTAAAGCATAATCGATGGTCCGGGCTGGAATTCTAAGTCATTCCACCAAAATCATTCGGAATTATTTTTTTCGTACATAAGACCATATTGGAGTGAAAGAGAGATATTCCACTATTTTTCAGCGTTCCACCGGAATTATTTCTCACACATTCCACTCTTCCTTGAGTTATCGGAATAATTCCGGTGGAATGCTGAAAAATAGTGGAATCTCTCTCTTTCACTCCAATATGGCTTATGTACGAAAAAAATAATTCCGAACGATTTTGGTGGAATGACTTAGAATTCCAGCCCCGGACCGGGTGGAGTATCAAGAAAAAAATCATCGAATCTTCAAAAAATGCATGGGTTTGTTTGACAGTGTGACCATTACGCGCGATGTGAAGTTGGAAAATTGGTCGAGCAACAAAGATGCAGCACAGGTTGAGTGCATACTGCACACACTGCAAGAAAAAAGTTCATCAAAAAAACTTTATGGAACACATCCAACGCATACATCCACAATCCACATTATTTGATTCCATCGTTCGGCACCAAAACCATTGTTCAGTCACAGCCTCGATGCCACCGTTGGATCACCAGAAGAAGGACGAAGTAGCCCAAATGGCAACGATTGTGAATAAGCAAATCGAACGCGAATCACGAAGAATACAACGATGCCCGGTAAGTCAGCGGAAACGGGACTCCGAATAAAAATCAAGCATTTTACACAATCTCAGTCAGCCATTTGGAATCACGAAGGTTGTCACAATGAAATCGAACTAATGGCCACGATGGAGAGTTCATTCTAAAGGACTCTGCTTAGTTGGAATACACATTTTTCATGCAGTTTGAATTTCTTTACATTTTTACAATGGTTCAACCTCTTCGAATTTTCAAGCTACAAATGTCTACAGATTTTGATGAAGTATCTTTTTCATTTTTGAATGATAAGTAATGTGTTTGAATCACAATAGATTTATCTACCATTTGATCAGATCCATTGGAGCAACACAGATTCTTTTACAGTTTTTTTTTTGTCTGGAATGTTGTTGTATATTTTGCAGAAATGATTTGTTAGCTTCCAGAAAACAACATACAAAAAGTAAGTCTATCATAGGGTCCGTACAAATGCGATCTGCATAACAATTTTCAAACTAAATTTAATAAACGGATGACATAAATAAGTTTTCAATTAAGAAAAAAATGGAAAAACGCCATAATTCAAAAGAACGGTCCATTTATTTTTTTTATTGAATGATTGGGCACATATTTATTTGGAATATTGCATATAGCATATAATTAAGAATCAAGCCGAATAATTTTAAGGATCTTAAAATAGATAAACGGTGACTAAACCATTTGAATAGTTGTTCAAGATTTGGATATTTGCGTAAAAGAAAAAATTAAACATTTTTTCCTAAACGAATGATCTAAATTGGAATTTCTTGCTTTTTGTATCATAATGTACGTTTAGAGTATCGCAATTTGTGAAACAATTTTTGCCAATGGAACACGTTCTATTCACTTAATCTAAATTATTAATATAATGAGTTGAAATTTCTGTCCCAATCGTATGAGCTTCCTCGCTTCAACTCGATCAAACCGTAGTCCGTTTTGTCTGTTGCCCACTTTTTTGCCAAGTAAATGTCTTCTGGAACATAGATTGTGACCTTTTGTGCTCCAGCCAATTTTTCACGCTCCTTGTTTAACGCCGCAAGATCAAGGCCATTGTTAGCGCTGTTCGGCATCGGCATTCGAATGTAATGGGCGACCTTGATTTTCTTCAACTTGGCTGAATGACGAATGAATGACGCAATTGCTTCGGATGTTGGTTGACCGAGATAAACACGTTCGAGGTTCACCAGATTACGAGCTGTTGTCTCCATAGTTGTTGAGCCATTGAGATAGAATCTGATGATCAATTCTTTGATGTTAACCAAAAGTGGTGAAATGGTAGTACATTCACCAAGATTCCAAGGACAAACTGACAATTTTTCCAAAGCATTCAATGAAGCTTCTTCAGCAGATATCTCTCTGCTATACCAGTGCAACCGTTGGAAAACACCACGTCCATGTAGTGAGTTCAAGTTGTCACGAAATGTGGTCACATTGGCCGAATCAAACCAAATCGCCAACACATCCAATTTGATGTTGGTCGTTCTAAACATGTCCCAATTCTTCTCAAGAAGAGAAGACTTGATAGCGAAGCTACGTACGTTTGGGTTTTGTTCGAAAAATGTCTTCAGCTCATCGAATTTTCGAGCGATACCACCAGTTACTTCCAAATGTTGGAGTGTTGGATATTTTCGGGTCAACCATCCATCATTGTGATTCCCATTACGCATATAGCAATATCCAACAGAAAGCGTCTTGATGTTGGTACAAAATTTGAGGAATTTTTCGTACAAATCGCCTTTGATTGAGTACCTTTCCAATTTCACACATTTGACTGTGCGTAGTAGCTTTTTGAGACAATTGACTTTCGCGACTGATAATGTGGTTCCTCCCAAGCGAATTTGCTTGATCGGTTCGTTGCGGTATGATTTAATTTGGCGATATGGATCCAAGTTTATGCCGTCGATGCATATTTTTTGCGTGTTTTCGATATCAAAGACATCAGGAACAGAAATATGGCGTGATGATTTGACGATATACTCTGCTGCTGTGTGGTTCATTTGGTAGAAGTTGGCAGCAACTTGTTGAGCCCATTTGCACGTTTGGCCGAATGCGTTGAGGTCTTTACGTGGCAGCCAATCCAAAATGGCATAGCAGCAATCGTCAACGAGGTTGAAAATGGGTGGTGTTGCTTCCTCGACGGCAGCGTTGGCGGCAATGGCAACAGCGTTTTGTTGATCGTCCACTTTTCTTGCTTTAGCCGGTGGTCCATTCAGGCGAGGTGACTTTCGTGTAGCCATTTTGACGTTTACTAGGTGTGGTTATACTGTGACTTCCCAAATGTAATTCAAAGTCGAATATCGTCTGTAGAAACAATGAAAACTGTATCAATCGATATTTTTTGTGGAAATATTTCCATTAGATTTAACTTACAAATAATATATCGTCAGCAAAACGGGAAACAAAGCAGTGGGAACGCTGTTGCGCAGTAAATGTATTGAGTAATGACGTTTGTTATATCCTTAGTTCTGCTTTACGAACTGAAGTTGACAGCACTTCGAAATGTTGAAATTTTTCGTATTTCGAATCGCATTCATTCGAAAATCGTACCACGTTTGAATGTTCCAACAGATAACTGCTATTTAAATGTATTTCATGAAATGTTATTGTGAAATCTCAACGCAAAAATAAACTTTCATTATAAATAGATAATTATCAAGAGGTGAGGACGCCGAGATAGTCAATAGAATCAGGACTCATAGTGGAAAACAAGCGTTTTATACAATTTCCATAAGTAGTTTGGAGTTGCCACAAAATCGAGTTTATGGCCACGATGGAGAGTTCGTTCTGAAGAACTCTGCTTAGTTGGAATACCGCATAGTCTCCACGAAGTTGCAATTTTTTTACATTTTTACTATGTCAACCTCATTGAATTTTCAGCACATATGATTTTCAAACAATGATTATTTCAAGCTACAAATGTCTGCAGATTTTGATAAAGTATATTTTCATTTTGCAATAATAAATGATGTGTTTGAATCACAATAGAATGATTTGCCATTTAATCAGATCCATTGGAGCAAAACCGATTCTCTTACAGTATTTTTTTGTTTAGAATTAATTTTAATTGAAATGAAGAACGTGAAGCTGTTGTACAATCTACATTTTGGAGAATTGATTTGTTGGTTTTCAGACAAGAATATTTGGAAAGTAAGTCTGTCATAGAGTCTGTACGAGTTCACCATGAGAGCGACACAATAATTTTCTACGAAATTGTTAAATTTTGTTTATTCATCATTTTGTTCGGTCTTGAATGCACAATTTCAATCTTTAATTTTTAATATCTTTTGATAGTACGGCTTTGCTTCCAGGCTTCGGGCAGTCTTCAATGTGATGCATTCTCGACACCAGGTTTCGATTGGCCATGGCTTCTTTTAACTGGGCGATTATACCCTCTTTGTCTATCAACGTTTCGATGTCTGGATTTGCACGGGCTTCAACTTGTGAACATTCTGGACACGGATTGATCAAACAAATTTCCGGTATATCCGTTGGTCGAACCATTTCCAAGCCATGAACCAATTCTTTTTCGACTGCTCTGCCTCTCTCCTCTTGCCAGCAGTAAACCGAATACATGACACTTCGTAGGCGAATTTCGATGATCTGTAGAACCTCATCAAGATTGAATCGGTCAACTTTAACGCCACCTTGGAATCCAAAGTCGACATCACAGGCCAACGCTGTAAAAAGCTCGTGAACTTGAACCAAATACTTGTCCAGTATCGATTCCAATCTGGCCGCTTCTTCACTCTGCCCTTTGATTTTCGATTCGCCCGTTTTCAGTGTCGAGTTCAGCTCATTCAAATATTCTCGTCGCTCTCTGCGTCCATCAATTTTATCTCGTGCCGCCGAAATGCCGGCTTTTACGCTATCCAAATTGTTGTCAATGTCCTCAATATTTTCGGTGACTTCGTTTTCAAACAGGTACAGTGAGAATGTTTGTCGTCGTTTGTATTCCAAATCATCGGTCTGAACATTTGGCGCATACTTTTCGATTTGTGACAATTGACCGTCGCAGATTTTCGACAATTCTCCATAGTTTTTCATTATGATTTCACGTTGCGGTACACTATCGGAGTCCAATGTGATAGGCGTGGCCTTAGTTATCATGAAATCACGTAGAATGTCATTGGTTTCGGCCGCTCGAATCAAGTGTTGCATTTCTTGTAAATGTTCCTTTAGTTGTTTGGTCGATTTGATACGACACGTTTCAAGATCACGACAAATTCTCATTCCACTTGCAAAGGCAATCGCGTAATGGTCCACCAATTCAATGACGTCGTGCTTTTTTATCTTCAGTTTGTTGATAACATCGTCACGATCGATTTGGAATTGTCGACGCATGAACATCAAATCACTAACAATGTCCCGCATTTTTAGTCCCTCTAATTTTAACATGCCCACTTTTTGGTTGTTATGCAACAGTCGATTTTCCAATATTTCAATCCTTTTATCGGCACTAAAACGATCATCCAGCGTAGAGTACTTTTCTAGCTCAATGTCCACACGCTCAATTTGCGATTTTAAATGGCCAATTTTCGTCTTGCATGACGATATCTCTTCGTCCAAATGATCTTGCTCAATTAACAACGATGTTAGACGTTGAATGAAGTTTTTGTTTTCGCCGCGCACCACTTTATTGTCCACATTGCGAATTTGAATGTTCAATTGCTTCAATTGCTTCTTACTTTGGTTGATTTTTTTCTGCAGCACTTGCAATGCCAGCACATTGGTGTTGTCGATAATTTTCAATGTGTTCAAATCACGATACGCTCGACGATGCTTGTTTAAATCACTAGAATTTAGTGGATTTTTTCTCGATGATTTGACTAATTTTGAATGGGCCATGGACAAGGAAATCTTAATTCAAAATAAAACGATCAATTTCTGAACAAATTTTGGAATGATTTCGATATTGATTTCCTTCTGATTTGGATTCGAACTTGAATTTGAAAATGTGGAATTTGGATTTTTATTTCTTGTGACTACTTTGATTGAATATATTCGATTCTGAGAAGCATTTGTTTTAGGAATTGATTGAATAATCATTTAAATGACTTAAAACTTTTTTGATCTCCTAGCAGTCCCTTTATTTACGTCATATTGGTAAGAGATGTGCAATAATTGTCTGTAAAAAGATGAAAATCTCCATAAAAAAACTTGAAGCAAAAAACAAATCTATTACAAATTATCGTATCAGCAAAGCACACATTTGCCAACCGGGGAATTGGGGAAAAAACACCAGTCACTCCGGCGTATCTGATATGAGAAAAACTGAAGGCTTGAAAAGATTTGTCGTTGCAATTGAAAACTATCGTTTGATTGCAAACAATGTTGGATTTTTTGTCAAACTTGGCCTTACTGGTGTCGCACCAATTTATATTTTTGCTGACGTTGTCAATGGCGATTGTGCCATCGATGATGATACATTTAATGACTTCAAATCAGATGATAAACATAACTTTATTATCCTAGACCAAAATGATCTTCCTTCTTCGCACCATCAATGCAACAATAGATTGGATGAAAATCATTCGAATTTATCCACAAAAAAATAGCAATAGCCCCGGAATACAGGTAGTGTTGGCCTTCGAACACTTTCGAACGCTTGTTCGTTCGTTCGACATGGTTTTAAAAAGAGGTTTTGTTCGTTCGTTCGTTCGACATTCATTTTGTTCAATGTGAAAAAATTTTTACATTAGAAAATTCGATGTATTGATCAATTTTATAATGTAATCGTTACAGCTCATGCTTTTATTAGCTTTTATTATAATTTTTCATAGTAATACCAATTTTATTCGGGAGATTTTGAAATAAAAAAAACTTTGTTCGGACCTAACATCGAACAAAATGAATATCGAACGAACGAACGAACAAAAAAATATTTTTTCGAATTGTCGAACGAACGAACGAACGAACGTTCGAAGCCATCACTAAATACAGGTGAATGAAGCAGAAAAGACTTCAAAAGTCGTCACTCAATTTATCCACTTGTATAAATTGTTTTCATGTCCTACTTGTGTAAATGCTGAGAAATTACAAAAATAGCCAGGTTTTTAATGAGTCAAGAACCTGATAGTTACTTCTAATCACTGTAAATTGTTAAATTGATGTCTTGCACTCTTTTTCGGCCAAACCTTATATTCAGTCAGAGCTTGGCGGAGTTAAATAAAAATAAAAAACTAAAAATAAAACGCAGCAGATCATCAATACATTTTGTATTTATTTTGTACATTTATGTAAAGTGAAATTGTTTCACAAGTCAATAAATTGAATGGAAATAGATAGCGATCATTACTTTTTGTTCTTGAAACGAAACTGATTGCAGTATTATATAAATTGAGCCTTCGCAAATTATTATAGATATTAGAAACGACAAGAGAATACATTTAATTGGAGAATTATGTATAGCGCATAATCATGTTTCAAATTGAACAAACGGTTGAATTACGGTCGGTATTTGTGAAATAACTTTCGTCAAAGTTTCTATTCACTTATTCGTAAATTATTATTAAAAGAGGAAATCAGCACTCCATTCCCATTCGTATGAGCTTTTTCGCTTCAACTCGATCGAATCGTAGTCAGTTTTGTTGGTTGCCCACTTTTTTGCCAAGTAAACGTCTTTCGGAACATAGATTGTGACTTTTGGTGCTCCAGCCAACTTTTTACGCGCCTTGTTCCATGCCATAAGGTGAAGAGCTTCTTTGGATTTTTTACAAACTTTGATTTTCGTCAATTTTGCTGAGTGACGAAGGAACGACGCAATTGCTTCGGATGTTGGTGTACCGAGATAAACACGTTCGAGATTCACCAGATTACGAGCTGTTGTTTCCATGTGTGAATTATCAGCGACTTCATCAATGTTCAGATCCTTGATGTTAACCAAGAGTGGTGAATTGGTAGCACAATCTTTAGCACGCCATTCATTAACTGATAATATTTCCAGCGCATTCAATGAAGTTATTTCATCAGGAACCACATTGCTATACCAGTGCAATCGTTGAAAAACGCCACGTCCATGAAGAGAGTTCAAGTTGTCACGAAATGCGGTCACATTGGCCGAATTAAACTGACTTTCCAAATGTAATTCAAAGTCAACTATCGTCTGTAAAAAACAATGAAAAATCTATCAATAGATTTTATTTGTAGAAAAAACCTAAAAATTTTCAGTTTGGCCATTGGATTTATCTTACAAATATTATATCGTCGGCAGAACGAGAGTGTTAACAAAGCAATGGGAATGCTGTTGCGCAGTAAAATGTGATGAGTGATGGCGTTTGATGTATCGTGAGTGTCAAAGTGGAGCTCTGTCGTACGATATGAAGTTGATAGCAATTCGAAATGATGGAATTTTTCGGATTACGAATCGTAAATGTTTCGAAAATTGCACCAATTTTAAAAAATGTATTTTTTTTTCAACAGATGTTTGAAAGCCAAACAAAGACCCAGATAAAAACTTGAATCTTACATATAAAGACTGCAAGAAATTGTCACGAGAAATAAAAATATGACAAATAAATCGCTAAAAAATTCAATAAATATTCCTTTTCAATCAATATATTCATCATTCAAATGTATTTTATGAAATCATTTTAAAATTTCATTGGAATGTGAATGTAAAATCTCGGCGAAAAAACATAAATTCGTGATAAATAATTGTGTTGATGTGTGCCATTCAAATTGTTTTGGACAAGACAGATTTGGAACCAGGCTTCGGACAGTCTTGGATGCTGGAAGGAAATGAGAAATCCTTGGTAAAAAAAATACGTGAAATTTTTTTATTTATAGTAATCGGATTCGACATTAGTTACTTACTTGTGCATTTTAGCCCTCATATTGTGCATTTTGATGTTGCTCTTGATTTTCTGGGATTTCGTTTTCTTATCCAAAATGGCTTCAACATCGGGATTTGCACGAGCTTCAATTTGTGAGCATTCGGGGCATGGGTGAACCATTTCCATCAGCGGTAAACCATGTGCCTTGACAATTTCAATGCCATGAACCAGGCGTTCTTCTTCAGGGACATTATTTTTTTCTTGCCAACAGGAAACGGTGTACATGACATGGCGTAATCGAGTCTCAATCACCCGAAGCACTGCATGAACATTGTATCCATCGATACTTTGGCCGACTTCATACAAAAGACTATCCTCACACTGCAACGTTTCAAATATCTCGCGAACGTCTTTGTAGCATTTGACCAGCATTGATTCATTATCTGCTAAATTGGTACTATGACGTTGTGTTTCGGTGGCTTCTTCAGTCCATTGATTTTCCAGCTCCTTTTCGCGATGTTCATTCTGCTGGCGATCTAGTAATCGAATCTCGGCCAGTTCCGATTGTTTTTCCAAGGTTTCAAGCATTTTTGCTGAATTATCGATCATTTTTGTGATGTCATTCGAGTACAAATACAGCGAATAAGCCTCGCGAACCTTCGATTTCAGACCAGACGCCGTTACACCCGATGCGAATTCACCAATTTTACTCAACAATTCTTCGTCGGCTTGCGTCAATTTGCGATAGTTTGACTTGAGAATTTCACGTGGCGGAATAGCATCCGAGCTTAGTTCAATAGGCGTTGCTTTTGTTATCATGAATTCACGTAAAATATTATTCGATTCGGCAGATCGGATCAGTTGACGCATTTCTTGTAAATGAGCTTTGAGTTCTCTGGTCGATCGAATATGACACGCTTCAAGATTACGGCAATTTTTCATCCCATTCGCAAAACCAATCGCATAGTGATCGACCAATTCGGTGATTTCTTGCTTCTTTACCATCAACATGGCAGTGATATCATCGCGTGACTTTTGAAATCGACGGCGCATGAACAACAACTCACTCACGATATCCTTCAGTTTTATGCCGTGCAATCGTAAGCCATTTACTTTTTGATTGTTTCGCAAAAGTCGATTTTCCAACGTTTCGATCTTTTTTTCGGCATCAAAATGATTGTCAACAGCTGAATACTTTTCCAGTTTAACATCGACACGCTCAATTTGTGATTTCAAATGATTGATCCTTTTCTTGATATCGTTCATTTCATTGTCCATTTCATCCTGTTCAGCAAGTAATGACGAAAGACGCCGGGTAAACCCCTTGGTTTGAACACGAACCACTTTATTGTCCACATTGAAAAGTAATGTGTTCAATTGGCTTAAATATCTTGAACTTCTTTCAATATTTTTGCGCAGCACAGAGTTTGCCCGCACATCGGTGTTAGAGTGCACTTTCGAATTGCTCAAATCGCGGTAGATTCGATGATATTTCGCCACTTCTGTGGAATATTTCTCGGTGAGACGCTTTTGCATGATTCGAAATCTATTCCAATGGAGACTGAAGTTGGGTGTGGTGAGCGAATGCGACAGCGAACCAGAGCTTGTGATTTCAACTTATTCAGTTGTGCGTGAGCATTAATACTGAAATATCACAAACGCCGGGTGTCAAAGTGGAAAAAAAAAGAAAAAAAAAATCGCTTGCTTCGATTCAGCTATCCTTTTTTAAATTAGGTGTCATCGATTCAAGTACGATGTTCATCGAATGTTTGAAATCGTCTTCAAAACGTTTTTCCTTCACGACTAACTGGATCGATTTCTATTAAGACTTTTGGAAGAACCAAACTGACGATTAAGGATTAATTCTTTAAAATAATTAGATGCGCATTGTGCAACCTAGGGGAGAAAACTCCCTGAGCAACAAAAAAAAATCCTGTGAAGGAAAGCTAACGAGTCGTCTTGTATATCAATCAAGGCAAATCAGACCCACCGTACGAAACAACAACCAATTTTAGAAATATCACAAGAATATTTATTTTTATTTTTTGCACCAAAGTTAGGCAAATTAGAAGTTTATTCTTAGAAATAGGCAAAGTTTAATGTAATTAAACTCTACTTGAGTTCTTGTGTCACCCCTAGCATAATACCGACAAAAATCACACGAAAATTCAATCTCACAAAATCATATTTTTATGACAAGAACACGTTCTCAGACGATACTTATTAAAATTAGGAAAAAACAAGACCAGCACGTTTTCTTTCAAGCGTGAGTTTGAATCACGTTTTATTTATTTACGATTCTAGTAACGTAATTTTGATAAAAAGTGGCCACATCGTCGACAATTGATTAGTCTTGAGTGAATAGTGGCCAGGTCCTGTATTTAAAATGATTGTTTTCATCATATTCATGGTATTTTGTTTCATTTACTGGATTCATATGAGAGATAAAAGGATCGAAAAGCTGATGGAACAATTTCCCGGGCCGGTAATGCATCCAATCTTCGGGAATGTTTTCAATTACTTCACGAGTGATCTTCAAGGTTTATGAGTTATTATTACCATTTTTATATTTCAATTATTTATTCAATTACATCTATATTCAGAGGTCTCTCTATAGAAATGCCTATCAATTTTAATTGGCGATAATTTCAAAAGGAGGCAGCTACAATTAATTGAACCGAAAGAAAAAGTGATACGTAGAAGAACGTATGATTTTTATAATGAACGTATGAGGTAGTCTCTTTAGTTATACATAATCGACAACTGAAAAAAATGTATAGGAAAAACATACGATGTTCTACGTCTTACCAAAAGTCTTCTGAATATCACATAAAAAATGTTCAGAACTAACGAAACACACTTAGAAACACACAGTATTTAATCGAATATATTTACCACAGAGATGAAACGTCGTGAGTGTGAAGCGTTCAGGAAATATGGCGAAACATTCCGTGTGAAAAAGATTCGAAGCTATGTCATATCGACTTCAGATCCAAAATTGCATGAGAAAATTTTGAGTAATACGACCAATTATTTGGATAAAACCAGTGACTACGATATCATGAAGACCGTTCTTGGTAATGGTTTGATAACGAGTGCTGGCTATCAATGGTACAGTCATCGAAAAATTATCCAGCCCGCATTCAATGTCAACATTTTGAAGCAATTTATCGAAATATTTGAGCAACAGTCGAAAATATTGGTTGAACGATTGAAAAGCCATTGTAATGGTTTGATAGATGTGAGCAAATATGTGGAACCATTCGCTTGCGATATGATAATTGAAACGTCTATGGGCTTAAAATCCAATACACAAGTGAACAATGGTTCCGAATATGCGCATTCTATGTCAATGTGAGTATCGTCGAAACGATTTGAATATCTTATAAGAATTTATACTGATGACTACGAAAAAACCAATTCTCAATATTACTTAAATATTTTGGCTTAAAATTCAATTCTAATTCATCTTGTGAAAAATTCTTGTTCTTACAATCGTTATTCGTTTTTTAGATTAAAACACGTGTGTTCCAAACGAATGATGAGTTATTGGAGGCGATTTGACATTTTGTTTTCGACTTTTGGATATTCTGATAAACGAATATTCGAGGATAGAAAACAGTTTGTGAAACAGTTTGCCGTCGAGGTGATTGAGTCGCGTCGGAAGATTTTGCTAGAAAAAATGGACACTGAAAAATCAAGCGATGAAAATAATCCAAATAAAAATATTAGAATGTGCTTCCTTGACGTCCTTCTGCAATCACTTATTGATGGATTACCACTCTCTAATGAGGAAATGTTGGACGAAGTACAATTGTTTATGGCTGCTGTAAGTTTTTGAAGCTAAATTCAAAAAGAAAACGAACTTAAATTCATCATTTTATTACAAAACTTAAAAAACCGAATGTTAGCTCGTATAACGGCATTAAATTTCATCGCAGGGCCAAGACACGGTCACGCAAGCAATTTCAGGGACTTTATTTCTATTGTCACGACACAAGCCGGTTCAAGATAAGCTCTACGCTGAAATCGACGAAGTATTTGGAAATGACAAAGAGAACACGATAACTCATCAACAGTTGGCCGACCTTAAATACATGGACATGGTGATCAAGGAATCGTTGCGCATTTTTCCAGCTATACAAATGATCGGACGTAATATTGACCATGATTTGATATTGGGTGAGAAACACATTTTAACCGATTTTTTCTTATCGATTTCATATAATTTCGTGAATCGTGATCCTTAATTTTCAGACGATGGTCGCACTATTCCAGCTGGAGTTGAAGTTCGATTATGCTTCGGTGCAACGATGAAAAGTCCAAAATATTTCCAAAATCCCATCGATTTTAATCCTGATCGATTTGCATGTGAGGAAACCAATCCGTTTACCTATTCACCATTCAGTGCGGGGAAAAGAGACTGTGTTGGCAAAAAATATGCAATATTCAGTATAAAAATTGCTCTCACCCGTGTGCTACAGCATTACGAGTTGCTGGCAATGGGCCAAGAGCCAATTATTCAAAAAGAAATCATTTCTCGATCTATCAATGGTTTTCAAATGGCCCTGAAGTTACGAACTACGCAGAAGAACTAATTTGGCAAATGTTTTAAGAGCAACAAGCAAAGAATATATTTTTTTAGTATAATAATCAATGCGAATGTATGCTCTAGTTCCACTGTGTTGGACAGTTACAAATTTTTTCTCCGCAAAAAAATTGAAGTGTAGCCATTTTGCGTAATTAGAAGAAATGTATGTCAAAATATGTCAAAACATCAAATCTAATAAAAGAATGCTATGTAAACTGGTCAGGTTAATAGGCACATAATTACTCTCACCTTCAGAATCAGTTTTAAATGTATGCTATTGTGAGCAGAGCTCCTTTATTATGATAACGTCTGAGTTTGTTGGCTGCAACTCAATTGAGTTCGGATACAAAATTATTCGTTTTCATTTAGTGGTCGCAACTCATTAAATCGTACAAAATTACAAAAATCATACCTTCAATAATTTTACGATCGTCTGGAGCCAATGGATTACCATAAATTACAGAGAAGATTTACAATAGATAGAATGTTGAATTTGAAAAAGCCATTGGTGTCTTTTTTCAGTTATCGATGACCGAAATTTTACCCACCATTTTTGTTTCCAAAATCAAAGAAGATCTCAAATACGTCGATATGAAATCCTCTAAGGTAGAAACCCACAGAGAAGCGCACAATAAGATGTTATTGTAACAATAAGGTAACGAATGGTGTGTCACTCGCTCGTTCTTACACTCATCCGCACGAGTCGTCTCACATAACGGTGCAATGGCTAATTGATCAGTCGCACGCAATGCTGTATATGCGTACGACTGACACACCACTCGTTACGTTATTGTGACAATAACATCTTTTTGTGCGCTTCTCTGTGGGAACTAACGCCATTGAATCACATTTGATTTGCGTATAGTGGCAAGAAATAGAAACACTTTAAAACTTCTTTGCATCCCTTTGCCGCATTTTTCAACTGATATAGATGTGAGAGGCGTCGCCATAAACAAATTGTCTAAATCTGGAATCACTTATTTAGTTTAAGAGTCATTATAATTTATGAAACAACCTTTAGAATGTTTTGTTTGTATCACGTTCGGTGTGACCGTGTATTTTACCATTCAAAACAAAATTTTAACATTTCAACGTGATCTACAGTCACAATTCATTTTCTATATAACGGCGGTCACACTTTCAACAAAATTAGTAGTGAAAAAGTGTGTACTCTGTACTGAATATGATTTGGCTCATTATTAACTAACTTTAAGGAAAGAAATGCGTATAAATGCATATAAATGCGAAAATGCGATAGATGATACGAAAATTTCAAATAAAAAATTGCATTTCAACTAAATTTTCACTAGAATTTTTATTAGTCAATCATTCGTCGATACATTCTAGTTCTCATTTCTATGCTCTATTCCTGAAATTGAATCTTTAATTTCATGACCACTTCTTTTCGTACAAAATATCAAATTATCTCTAAACATTTATTACAATGTCACAAACTCATTCGGAATCGCGAAGAAAGAACCGTCCGTTGACTTCATCAATTCGGTGGCGTAGTCGCTCAAACTCCGCTTCACTTATGCAAACGGTCCGGAGTCCTTTGCCCATTGAGTCTTGCTGCTTGTCTTCATGACAATCAACCCGATGTTTTACGAAATTTTCAACCCATTGGTCGCAAATATCGCATTGTTCCTGTTTGGCAACCTTGTATAATTCAAACAAATTAACATACTGTGGAATATCTGGATGAATGCTTTCATGATGTTCATCTAAATTTTCTTCAAAAACCAATGCACCGCAGGCTTCACACTGAAAAATGTGTGAAAGGATTGCACTGGGTATTTTATGTTCAGATTTTGTGCTGCTACACTCTGAACTCGCTTCTGAAAGTCCCATGAATTCATTATTGGCCAAACTCAACCAATTTTCAACTTGGCACACGTTTTGATGGCGGTCAAACTCACCGGCCAATATTTCCATATTGCATAGGATGCATTGGATCCGCTTTTCGTCTTCGATTGTCACGTACATTTGCATGTTAAATGGCACATCAGGATGTTCAAGGTAGTGATGCTTCGGTAAACAATAGTCCAAAATAGTCTCGCTACATATTCCACAGCGGTAGTGACAATGAATGACTTCGTCATAGTCATTAGCAATGTTAGTTGATGGTGCTCTTGATGAAGTGTCTTCTTTATTCGTTGATGATGTTTCGCTTTCACCACAGTCATCGTCACTCAAATTCAATACTACCCACTCACCCATGATTGTGTTGAGAAAATCATCGGAGAATTTTGAAGTAATTGACGTTTCCATATTTAGATTCCTATTGTATCTTTCAACAATTCAACAAATCACTTTGGTTTTCGGAATATTTTCAACGTAGATGAAATTGGATGATTTATTCTTCGACTTCTCTCAAGAGCCACTCGGTTTGCTTTGTTGAATGCAACACCAGAACTGATTTAGAATGGCATGTGCCTTTGTTTATATTTCAAAAAAGGATTAAGGACCCGTGACCAGTTGCACCTTTCGATGTAGGTTCGTTTGGCTCTGGTGTCTGGACTTTTTTTCTTCACAAATTGAGGTTCTTCCTAGAAATTCTACAGAATGCTTGCTGCTCATTACACAGTTTCGTTTACATGCCTTGACTTAAGTTAGTGACCATGATCAATACTTGTGCACCACAACCAGTTCAGGTGTGTTTTTCGGTGAAACCAGTCGGATTACGTTAGAAAAGATTGGTTCTTCATTTTCACTTTGTTCTACCTTAAGTCAGCTATTTCACTCAAACAAAGTTGTTGACGCCCAAATCTTGATACGCCGTTCAGTTTTACCTGGCCAACTATGCATCACGATCGTTAGCTCATGACTTATTTTGCTCTTTGAAAATTCGTGTCAAAGTTTTCAAGGGTGAGAGAGAAAAGAATGTTTCGCTTAATTCGGGAAATTCCAACAGCATGCAAAACATCAACGATTGGGCGCATATTTTTTTACTAATTAGTAAATTATAATTTATCTTAGCATAAGTTGAAGAATTTGTAAGATGTAAAACTACAATTGCTGCATCGACTCAATATACAATTTTTCAAGGATCTTTTGGAGAAAATGTTCCCAACATTCTTCTTCCAATTTCATAAATTGTTTTACACATTTCTGCATATTCGTACGTACGCGTAAAATTCCATATCTTCTCACAGTTGACACAAACACGCGAATATGTCAATTTTTATCATTCAGTAAATCAACGATTTCCTTTCAAATTAAACAATCGCAATCGCATTGGAATCTAAGTTTTTATTTACAAATCTGATGTCACATTGTCTCTGATAACAGCAATCAATCACAAATAATAGGTAGAAATATTACGTTTCAATGCCTAGTAAATACGCATTTTATTATCGTATCGTAACAATTGTTACACTCGCGATTGGTTTTATTGATCACATCGCTTGATCTAAGCACGTTATGCGTAGAAAAGGTAACGATGCTGAAACAAGATAAAGAAATCGAAAATGTGATGAAATCAAATGACGATTAATCTATTCGAGCCCATTAAATTATTTTAAGCTCATATAGCATATTTCAGACATAGTAGTTGTAGTCATATTCAACGAATGAAACGAAACAATTCATGCTACAAAGTTTGTATCAAATTAGCGTAAACTAATTTCCATTGAATTTGTATTGATTTTTTCCACAGATTTTACGATAAAAGGCCAAGGTTTAAGATTTTATAACCCTTTCTTTATTAAATGACATCTAACCACTTTCAAAATAAACTAAAAGCAAAAGAAAATATTTGGAAAAAAAATTCAGGTGAATCTTGATTGTTTCAGTCATCAATAATGAAAACCCCACGTATAAATAAGTTGAAATTATAGCATCGAAATAATTGAAACAATTTCGACACACCTGTATAATGCTTATAATATATGTTTTCGGTACGTAAATTATTGACTTGGGGCAGTGGTTTTACATTTTACCCAACAAAAAAATTGTTTCGATTTCTTCTTTTTCAAGTCGTCAACTGATTAGATTCAAACGTTAATTATAATGATTTTTTCGTTGGTATCTCTTGAGCATTGTCATTCCCTTTAATATAGAACTGAACTTAAGTTTCTATGTTTGTAGGCATTATTTTGTGCTAGGATTTCTACACAATGATGCTGTCTGCTAAGCAATTTTTCACAAAATCTTTAACTTCACTTGGGAATTCCTTTTTGTCCTGAAAATGAAACGTAAAGACAGAAAATCTGTAAGTTTATCAAAAATAATTTAATTATAACTTTGAATCTAGGGGAGACACGGTACTTGATTAAGTTAAATTAGAACATTAGTCGACGATAATAGAAAAATAGAAGAAATTACTGAATTTTGTTTGTTCATAAAGATTGTGTTGTCAATGCAAACGCTTTTGGAAATTCTGTTTACAGAATTCCACAAGCATTATATTGTCAGTGTGATATCTTCGGCAACCGATTTAACCAGAAATATTAGCAGCATATTTGCATGTTTGCACCGAAAATAGACAGATTGGAGAGTTATCGTCAAAAATATATCAAATAAATGTAATTAGACTCTACAAAAATTCATGTCACGCCCCAAGGTTTAAATACGGTCTTTTTTGATTAGGTCAAAATCAAAAAGTCATGTGATCCTTTTCTTAGCAATCCAAGTATTAAGGCAGATCAAAAAGAAATATTCAAACCGATTTTTCTATGTTCACTGATAATTGTTCAACATTTGGACTCTGTCAATCTATACCGATTTTTTTTTTAGAATTTTAAGACATGCCAAACTTACATCTGGCAATTTTTTGAGCAATTGACGTATTTCCTGTACCGCAGTAGCTTGAAGCTTCAATGTGCATCTCCTGTAATCGAAACCCAACATCAAATTAAATTACATTTCGCAACAGATTCAAATGCTTTTCGTAATTTTTTTTTAAATAATAATTCTTGATTTTTAGTCTACTTTGACATAGGCGACTTTACTCACGCATGTGCTATTCCTGAGAGTGATTCGCATTTTTCAAAGGCTTCAATCAATTTCAGTGCTGTCTTGCTAGCTTCATCGAACCACCAATGCAAATCGGAATTGTCGTTAAAAATCGTTTGGCTTCCATCCTATTTAGAAACATGCAATGCTTGATTATTTGATCTCAAAGTGCTTGATGATAATAATTGAATTTTGTCAGAAAAAACCACGTCATTTCTAACATTTAAATTAATCTTACTTTAAGACAATTGAACCTATCTTCAATGCCTCGGTTCGATAATATGGCATTAATACCGAACTCCTGAAGATTGGACACATGCTCTGTATGTGTGAGTAATCCAACGACACTGGAAACCTGAATCGAACGAGTAAAGTATAACAATAAATTAAATTCGAAAAATTCACTTTGAAAACAGAAATATATACCATTGCAACGCAAAAAACCAAAAATAGCTTCATTTTGAGTCAAACAATTTCTTAACTCTAAAAAAAACGTGTCGTTAAAATAATTTAAGTTTGAAATAATGCACGCAAATGAAAGAATATCCAACGAGAAAGAAGACCGTTACGAATGGTAGAAACTGCGATAGCTTTTGTTGGAGTACGCTGATTTACCGCGGTATTTATACGATTTTACTACGAAAATGAAACAAGTAAACAACAAAACAGATCGGAAGCAATCACTTGATAATCGCTTACGATATGAATCGAGAACAAATGACCGAAAAGATAAGCATTTAGAAAACATATTTATTACGAAATGAATATTTCTTATCAATTTATAGATTAGATCAGACAAAGCATTTTGATTTTAACAAAAAAAACTCAAACGGTCAATCGGTCAAATCGAATTAGTTGAAGAAAACAAATCCCATCCAAGTAGATTCGATGTTGTGAGTCATTGTTTGTCAAAACACACGCGTGCGTAAAACTTTTTGATACGATCGACAATTTTTAAGCTTTTTTTAAATATTGTTTAGGTAATGAGAACTCGATTTGGCCACGCATCGAAATGGTTGAAACAATCGCGGCTCAACTGTAGTTCATAGTAACCATCATTGGATCCTCGTAATTTCTGAGATAACCTTAATGATAAGAAATTTTTGATTGTGGTATTATTATAAAGGACTTTTAACTTGTATCCTTCAGATTAGCTTTGAGTAGTTCCCAAAGGAGAAAATGAATCTATAGTTCATATATGGGAAAAAATTTAGTAACTAAGTTCTAGGAAATTATATTATATTTGACGGCCTGAGAAGAAAAACCTTTCCTACAAAACGTGTGCGCAAAACACAAACACAGAAGTTTTTTAGTCGAAAGGCGAACAGCAAATTTGCGAGCGCAAAAACCTAATATATTTACAGCGAGCGCAAAAGCATAACAGGCCTACTTATACGGATTTTGCATGCTAGTAGGCTTGTTGTACTTTTGCGCTCGCTGTTAATATATTAGGTTTTTGCGCTCGCAAATTTGCTGTTCGCCTTTTGACTAAAAAATTTCTGTGTTTGTGTTTTGCGCACACGTTTTGTAGGAAAGGTTCTTCTTCTCAGGCCGTCATTTATATCTATGACTACGTATATAGACTGTCATTTTACCGATGCGTACGTTCAAATTATTCAATTCTCAAGCGATAAAAATGGGGAATTGGTTCCGAGTAATTTGCTTTAAGAAAATTCCTGAAAATATTTGATGTCAACAAAGAAACGGGCATAACATGATTATCTATGTGTTTGTTTTTACAAGCTGACTCGGACTGCTTCGAACGATACGTGGCTAGCTTAGGAAATTGGTAAATAATCCAATTATTCTACATTAGTTAATGATAATAATATACAGCAATTCAAAAGAGCTGTTTTGCTTATAACATGAAATTGATGGGTTATTAAAGCGTTTGATGGGATATGTAAATATCAACTATATCATAAAAACACTGACCCTTCTACGTTGACATTTTTTTTAAGTTTTCACAAATGAACCATTTACGGAGAAATACAGTGCACTGTTCAATACACATCTAAGTAGCCATGAACGCACTGCTTCAGATATAGCTTATGTATGGCATCTCCGCCGAACTCCGCACAGCTCCACTGTACACTGAATTTCTCCGCAAATGGTTCATATGGGTTCCAAGTACTAACGTTCATTTTCAATGCGATTTTATTTTAATATTAAAAGAAAAAAAGCATCCATTTTTTGTCATACTCCCACAATTCGAAGTAGGCAAACCGTCAGAAGTAGTACGGCAAAATAACAAATTGCCAAAGTAATTTTTTCATTGGAGGTAAAATTTTGGATTAACACCAATGTTTTTATTCGGTAGGTAAATTTGAATTCAGTGGAAAAAAGCCGCTAACAGGGCATTTGAAGAGTGATAAAACACATCAAACACGTATCACAAGCTGAATGCAATTTGTGTGAAGTCAACTGTCATTTCAGTGAAGTGGAACAATTTTATAACTTACATTGTGTTTTTAGTTAAAAATCGAGTTTCAATTTTAAATTAATCACGCCGGAGATGATTATTTTCTTTCTATTCATAATCTCTTGAAATTGATTGAGTTTGAATTGAAAAAGAACACTTATTACGGCCATTCTTCGAGAATTTCGTGCATTTGTCATATATAAATATAATTATTTAATCAATAAAACATCGTATTCAGTTGGACTATCGACAAAAAAATGTATGTGTTGCAAATCATTAATGAATCACAAAAGATTCAGGATCGAACCATCAACGAAAAAATCATCTTGCTTTTGCTTTTTATTTAAAAAAAAAATTGTGTTTTCCTGATGTTATGATGAATTCATATGTGAAATTTGATACCAATCAAGGAATTTAATATTTTTAGTGCATAAAGTGGGCGAAATAACGCATAAACAATTTGATGTCCGTGAACATCAATATTGGTGACAAGCAAGCTTCATTTTTTTTTCACTACGAAGTACACCGGCGCTTTTTGCAAGTTTCTTCACGTCACCTGGCTGATATTCAGCGATAACATTTTGCGGCAACTTTTATTGTGGATTCCTATTTGCATTGCGAGTATCCGCACTCTAGAACGGATATGCGACGGAGTGTCGGCGGACACCTATTTCACCGCAAATTTCTCGTCGGGTATTCACAATATTGAGTGAAGCATCAATGATTCCATATATTCTTGCATTAACTAACACTGTAGCTATCGAGCAAAACAACGCAATCATGGTACGTGAGCCTGAGTCTAACGCATAGGAGTACGTCATGTCGTTTAATCATCCATATTCATATCCATATTTACCGTATGAATCGGTAATCTACCTGGATGTTTTTTCTAACTTTGAAACGACTTTGAAACGGAATGTCTTCTGTGCAAACCGTTAAGATGTGAACATTTCCATATTCATATGATTACGTCAATTAAACACCACACAGCACTTCAAGAGTGAAAAATATTTGCTGAAATTTGCAATTCAATGTGATCCACAAGCGTTATTTTTCAAACCATACGGAAGGTGACGAAGAAATAAAGTTGAACATCTGGTAATTTCGATTCGATCCATTTGATGTTAAGCGTAAAATTATGTGCACGTGCACAGGCCGAATTGCAATTCCACCAATTCACGTCAATTATTTTGAATTTTTCTCTCCAAAAATTAAAATTCAAATGTGCCATTATATTTTGTGCATTTAAATTAGAATTGTCATTGCGCGTGGATAAATTATACCGTTAATGTGTTGCTTACTGATTTGACCATACTTGAAAACTGTATAAAACGCCGCGTTCAATTCGAATGTCCATCAAATAGTTCATCAATTGATACGTTTACAGTAAACTTTTCAACGCTAGAAAAATGCTGACTCTAAGATTTTTCACACTGCTGCTCATTGAGTTGGTGGTATCCATGGTAAGTCGACATCATTTCAGTCGAATTTTTTGTAATTCTAATGTTGTTTGCCATTTTTCACTTGCGAATTAGGCATCGATTTCTTCTACAGTACGCCCCCGCAAATTAGAAACCCGAGAATTAGAAAACCTCAGAAATTAGAAATGAAATTCAGGTTTGAAAATTTGTATGGAAAATTTCTAATTTCCGGGGTTCATTTCTAATTTACGGGGTTTTCGAATCATTTCATTCAAGACAAAGGGAAATTTACTTCATTTTTAATGTAAGAACGTAATGAAAGTCTTTTCCATTTCGTTGAATAACTATATTAGCAGATCAGCTTGAGATTTTCGACGTTTACCATGAAGTTAAAAATTAAGTCAAGAAGTAATCTGTTCCATATTGTCTGCGTCAATCATCAATCATCAATCATTAACAAATCGAAACCGATTTGTTACATAAGAGAATTTGCATATACAAAATTGTATATAGAATGCTAACGTTTTGATATAATAAGAACAGCCGGTCATCATTTATTTCGGTTTGTTCCGAGGAGTAGTTTATCCAGTAAAATAAACTAACAGACTTACTATATATTTATAATCACTAAAATAACTGCTTATAAGCATTTATTTACATACAATACTTGATTGAACAGTGTTCAATATATTGTTTTCAATGAAGCAAATCATTCCCCCTATCAGTTTTTCATTTGATACACCGTTTTTGGATGAAATTGAAAAAACCTCAGAAATTAGAAAACCCCGCAAATTGGAAATGGTCTCGGGACATTTCATTTCTAATTTGCGGGGCGTACTGTATACTTTGATCCTTTTAGTCGAAAATTTAAGTTAATTTTTCTAAACTAATTTCATTGCCAAAAAATTTTCATTTTGAAGTTTTTCAATTGAAAAAATGAAGAAATATTCCATTCCAAATAAAATGTCCCTCGGAAACTTTTATTCGAATAGTTGAAAACCATTACAACCTCATCCATTGCTCCCATTATAATGATATGCAATTATTTATTTTCCACAGTTCTTAATCGTGGATGTGAGTAGAGAATTTCTACTTGCACCCAAACGAGATTCGCCAAAAACTTATGGCGCACCTGTTATGATGAACCCGGATTCTAAGACCGTGAAAGCAGGAGCAAATGCTCCAGCGCCGGCAAAAGCTGCGCAGAAGGCATTTGTAAAAGGCCAAGTCGCAAGAATCAATAGTGGTGCCGCATAGAATAAAGGCTCTGCGTCCGCGACTAAAAGCAATCAAAATGAATCAGATAAACCATATGGCAAATCTGTTATGGTGAGTCGGAAAGCATGGGCAGGGAACCCCTAAATGACAATTCACTTCAAGAAAGAAGCACTTCTTTATTGAAAAGCCAAAGGGTTTACATTTTTTCCGTTCAAAATTACTTTGTTGAAATATTTTGCAAAAAAAACTTTCTTGCAAAAACATAGAAATTTTAAGTTTATTTTGTTCAATTGAGAGAAATGAATAAAGGGCTTCTATGTGAAAAATATAGATAAAAGCTTACCTAGAGAAATGGCCTTGAAATAGAAGTCATTGTAAGAAATAGAAGGTAAATGGTTACAAAGTTGCATCGACCAAGTGTTCCAAGTTTTGAAGTATTTCCAAAGCAAAACAAAATTTTCGTATGAATATGAAGCGATTTTTATTTTGCGACTTCATCAATAACACATCTTTCCCTTA